TTTAAAGATTGCTTTGTTACTTGCAAAACAAGCAAAGTATTTTAAAAACTATTCAGGCAATATAATGTTGCTAATAAATCACTCCTTTCCCTGCACTTTAGGAACAGCTTTTACAATGCACAGTCACAAGGTGTTCACAAAAGCTATTCAGCACAAACTACTGGATTCCTAGAAAACTATACTCTGTTTAAGTTTTTTGGGAATGCACAAAAACAACCTAGATGGCCAGTCTGGAGATTAAGTGTGCAACTGCCATTCTGGCTTATCTGTGATTGATAGAGTCTGTTCTTGCATTTCCTCTGAACTTGTTAACATCAGGATATTAATACCATCCTATATCATACATTTTCTCACAGTTAGCATCATGGTATCACAGCCCCGGCAGGTCTAAGGGACTGGAGGAAACAAGGGTAGTGCAGTTTTCATGAAGAAAAAGCTTCCCACAGACGAGTGTGCTGCACATTGCCACGCGAGCGGCCCCAACACATCCACTGCCTGGCACCTCTGTGGTTCTAAAACAACCCTCCACCTTGTAACCTGGCGTCGCGCCACCCTGACAGATGGACTTGAGTGTGGGCAGCCAAGAGACTACGTATACGCATCAAATGTGCCTTTTGAGAGCAGGACTTCCAGCCAGGAATGCTAAAACAGCTGTCCACATGGAGCTTGCAGGCCTACTCTTAAGAGGATATGCTAGTGCCACCCAAGCCCTGAGCTGGATTAACTGGGAAAATAAAAGAGCTTCTACAGCCACGTAAGGTGAGTTTTTGCAGAATCAGGATTAGTGATACTGAGGGGCTCTTACTCACTGACAACTAGCGAGCAAACTTAAAGAGTTGTAACTTTAATAACACGGATGCTTGTACACAAATGCTTTTCATTTGAATGTATGATCGATATATATAAGCAGAATATATCATGTATGTATACACACAAATAGAATGCAATGCAAGTATGCTTACGAAAAAATATACTAAGGATTTTCTATTTCGTGTTAGGGGATATTGCTTTTTATTTTTTCCCCAAACTTCTCTCTCCTCACTGAGGTGCCTTCTCATGTGAATCAGATCTGCTCCACTAGTCTACCTTTTCTTTCTGAAACTTTCAAACTTCCATGGTCCACTCCTGCACTTTTCAGTCGCTCATATCTACATGCACATGTGTATTTGACATCCCCAGAGCATTCGTATGACTTGCCCCGCTAATCAAACCAGAAACAAGCATTGCACAACGGCAGCCGTGGTGCTGGCCAGCTGGCAGAGTCATCTCCCGGGCACCTCCGGAGCGTCCCTGCCCAGCCGTCCCCCCAGCCCTGCGCCCATCCCCGCGGACAGGGCACATTCCAGACCACGGCGACGGTTCCCAAACCATGTCTGCTCACACCAATGTGCCAGGCGATGTTCTCCCGTTACAGCTCTGGTTCTTCTGCTCCTCGGAAAGTCATTGGCCTAAGTCTAAAAGACAGGTAAATCCTCAGTCCTGGACTAATTAAAAGTTTCCTCAGACTTTCAACTACTGGCAGAAAAAAAAAAATCACGATTTCCAATGGAAAGCAACACTTAGTCCTTACCCTTAAAGGCTGAAAGGAGGTGATATACTTGACTTAATTTTTAAATGTGCTGTGTGTTCATTGTAATTCGTCTCCTTATAAGCCTATCACGGCTGGCTGCCTGGTATAACGTTTTCACTTGCGCTGTAGCTGGATATCCAACCTTTACTTTTCTGAAGGGCCACAGGAGGACTCCAAACCGGTGAGGATATTCCCAGCACAGCCCAGAGCTGAACTGCAGTCCTACCTACCGGTCACGCACGGTCTTTGAAGCGGGTCTTTCACCTCTGCTAACTTTAAGGCAAGCCCAACTTCTCCAGCACTTGAGGATTTCCAGTCGTGACCTTGCTCTCTGCTCCCATCAGGATTTTCCTCCTCCTTTCGTCCTCCAGTCTCCTCTATAACCTCTCTGCCTCCTTTTTCTTCCCCTGAGCTGTCTGTGTGAAACCATTCATCAGCAAAAGTTTCGGTCCCCTTTCTACCCTTCCAAACTGCAGCTACAAATCACAAGACTTTTTTTTACTTTATTCTTAGCTCTAGCAAGGTTAATTTAAACTTTCATACCAGATAACCTTTCTCCAAGGTGCAGGAGGAAGGGAAAATACTTTGCTGCCTATTCAATATTTCATCAGACAACATTGTGAAAATGACAGAAAAAAAAACAGAGTGAATACCTGTCTTTCCTCCTGAAAGCCAACAAAGCCTCGGGCTTTCTCGAGGCATTGCACAAAGAACTGGCTTTAAAACGGTTCGGGGAATAGCCAAAATTGTTGGAGAACACATCAAAAGCAGGGGAAAATACTGATCCAGACGGATTGCTGCTGCTTACTGAGGTCAAGCACGCACCGAGCCTGTCCCTTTTGTGCATGTTTTGCACAGAATGATGCTATCTCCAAGGTTAGCCCGGAGATTGATTGCAAATGGTGATGCCGAGCAGCCAAAACTTGGACCAGTAAGTGCCTGCCCTTCTTTGAAAGCAGTTTGACAGAGTGAGATTCATTTCTCACAAAATCATTTACATGCTAATGCAAATGCAGAGCACAGAGAATCTCCTTATGCATTATGCACACTATATTTAAAAAATAAAAATAAAAAAGTTATGCAGTTACTTATAACCTCTAAGTCTCAGGAAAGTTTGGCACCTGCTTATCCGAGAAATCCCTTTCTGCATCAGTGCGACTCTCTGTACCTGCCAAAAGCCCAGTGCTGGTTATGAACCAGTAGAAGTGTCACTTGTTAAGTGTCATTTGAGCTCCGGGAATGGAGCGCTTTGCCCGGGAGGTTTTACTTACTTACGGTTTTATTGGCACGTTTAACTCATTCTTAGCTCCCTAAGTAGCACCGTCACTCCTACACGCACTCTCCTTGTTTCACCTGTTACTACTGTTCACAGCTTCATAACACCAGGACAAAAACATTACAAAACTGGAAAGGATGGCAAGTTTACTTCAAGTTCACTTCATGAGGGAAGCCCAGCCCAGGCATCGCAGGGAGGGTACGAGGCAGAAGCGCCTTTAACTGGCACCTGCATGGAAAGATGTGGGTTTTAGCGTTTGCTTCCGTGCCTTACCTAGGTAAAGCGAGGCATTTTCTTTCTTGACATTGTCATCCAGGTAGGTTGGTCCCAAGGTATAGATGGGTGTGGAGCCCATGCCGATGAGGATCTGGGCGCAGATGAATAAAGCTACGTAGAGGGAGTGACCGTTGCCGCCGGAGTCCTTGACACACGCCGGCGACTCCAAGGACTCCTTGGCACTCCCATTGCCCGTTAGGCACAAGCCCTCGTTGCTCACGGACGAGTTCAGCTCCTGGATCTGGTACGGCGGCGAGATGAAGTGAGGTAAGGAGAAGAGCGCGGCGCCCAGCGCGATGAAAAACCCGCCGACGGCGAGCCAGAGCGGCCTTCGCCCGCGCCCGCCGAAGTAGCTGATGAAGACCACCACGACGAGGCTGCCCACGTCGAAACAGCTCACGAGCAGCCCCGACTCGGAGCTCTTCAGGCTGTACCTCCTCTCGATGGTGGTGATGACGCTGCTCAGGTACCCCGACACCATGAGCGACTGGATGAAGGTCAGGAAGCACATGCACACCAAGAAGAAGCGCGAGTCGGACAGCGCGGCCCTCAGGCACGCTCTGCCGGCCGCCCCCGGCGGGGAGGCCGCGGGCGCCCCGCGGGGACACCCCGGCTGCGGGGC